TCAAGTTTCTTGTAATTCTTTTATTGACTCCCTGCTGGTGAACATAAATATCGTGATGCAGCAGAGTTTTTCCTCACCACTGTGGCCTCTGAAATCTGCATTTCTGTACAGCTGCTTTCTGACCTCGTTCTCAGTTGTTAAATGTGCTATACAAATAAAATTTATATGGAATTCAAGCCGCCCTGTGACGTAGCGCGAGCTAAACTTGGAAAAGATGCAGTAGCTTCATGTGTCTCAGAGGAAGCATGTGTTAGCTCTCACACTCAGAAAAGAAAAAGGCTACCATTCCTTGTCACTGGGGTGGTACCATCCAGTGTACACATTTGTATCTGTAGTATGTATCTTTTACCTAGAAAGGTGGACACAGTACCTTTAAAGCACTGGGGTCCAATTATTTATCTTTGTCCTTTAATTTCCATTGTAAAGATACATATTGACCATATTAAAGATACATTTTTCTGAGAGTGCAGCAGTCGTGTTATAGGGGAATTAGGAAAGGATGGTTTAATAAAGTGTTTTGGAGCTGATTTATGTCTTATATTTTCCCAGAAACAGGATTACACATGTGGATGTGTGAGTGTGTGAGTCTTGCATTGTTTCAGGCAGTGTTCTCCTTCCCTCATTCTGCAGGAATAAGGTGCTGCGTATCTCCGAAGGCCTCGACAGTCCGGGCCAGATCAACTGGGAGATGACTCTGTGTCTGATGACAGTCTGGGTGTTGGTTTATTTCTGCGTATGGAAGGGAGTAAAGTCGACAGGAAAGGTACAGACCCCTATAAAGTCTGTCTCCCACACACACACACACACATGCACACACGCACATGGCCTAGCAAGGCTGCTGATCCCTGCTGTAGTTATGACTCCAGGTAAAAGCCGAGCAGTCACGTGGAGACAGTGACAAGCTGATTAAACGCAGCACTCACTGCGTCCTGCTCCCTCTTTCTCTCTTGAGCTCTCTCGCTTTCTTTTCTTTTCTTTGTCTACTTGCATTGTGCTGCAGGCACAGATCTGCATCTCAGATGATTCTGAACATATGACGTGAAAATCCTTCAACAGAAATGCGGAATAATGATCAAACCTCACTGAAACCGTGATTTTTCCCACTCCACGGTATTACGTTTAATAACGCACAGAATAAACGCGTTAATAAATCGTATAGCCTTTCACACACATCACCAAACCAGAGCTCAATGTGACTTTCTCCTTTAGCCTTGATTTGCATAGCCCCTCCCACTGCTGGTTCTCCACATCAACACACTAGTGAGGCAGAGAGGTCGTTATGGCAACATCATCTGCCAAAGGGGGAGTGGTTTTGCTCATATCAGGGCGTCCTGTCAGAGATCTGCAGCGTGGTTGGTCGGTTAGGGGAAGATTTTCTGCAGTGGGACGTGACCGGGCTCTCGTGCGCATGGCCACGAGCCAGCATCTCTCTTCTGAGTGTGGGGGGTGAGATCACATGAATCCTCACCGTCAGAATGACTGGAGTTTATTTCTGGCGTCTCATGCAGCCACACTCCCTCCCCCCACGCATTTTACAACCACTTGCTTATGTTTCACATACCACCAGCTTAAAATCAACCTCGACAAAGAAAATAGACAGTGAAAAATTTCCAGTTAAGGAATGGAAATTGCCATTTAAAATCTTTCTAAAATAGGTGCCAACCTCCTTTTTCTCCTATTTGTCATTTTAAAAGAAGTAGTCTGAGCTCACAGAGCTCACTGGGCCTGTATTCCCATGCCATAAGCTAGTGTCCCAGTGAGCTAATTGGCTTTTTCCAGAATCTGATTAAATAATACGAGGGGCTGAACAAAGCAGCAGATTAGCCTACATCTCACAGATCAGGTGGGACAGTAAGTAGGGTTTATTTACTGTTTACCAAAGTTCTGAGGAGTATTTTTCATTCTTGTCACCCTCAAAGTATACTATATGGCCAAAAGTATGCGGACACCTGACCTTCACACCCATATGTGTCTCTTCCTCAAACTGCTGCCACAAAGTTGGAAGCACACAGTTGTATAGAATGTCTTTGTATGCTGTAGCATTACAATTTCCCTTCACTGGAACTGACAGGCACTGGAACTGTTCCAGCATGACAATGTCCCTGTGCAAAAAGCGAGCTCCATGAAAACATGGTGTGTTAAGGTTGGTGTGGAAGAGCTTGAGTGTCCTGCACAGAGCCCTGACCTCAACCCCACTTAACACCTTTAGGATGAACCGGAATGCCGACTGCACCCCAGGCCTCCTCACCCAACATCAGTACCTGATCTCACTAATACTCTTGTGGCTGAATGAACACACAAATCCCCACAGCCACATTCCAAAATCTAGTGAAAACCCTTCCCAGAAGAGTGGAGGTTATTATAACAGCAAAGTGGGACTAACTCTGGAATGGGAATGGGTGTGATGATCAGGTGTCCACAAACATTTGGAAATATAGTGTAAGAGGCATTATTTAGTTTTTGTGTATTTTGTGTCTTTTGTCGTTGACTCAAACCCCAGTGTTGTGGCCTACAGTGCTGCAGTGAACAAGAGTTATAATGCAGTAATGATTCCTAGGAATCCATTAACACAATGGGATGAGGTCAGGAACGAAAGCTTCCCGCTTCCTGTCCAAACCTATTTACCCACAGTTACGGGTCAGACATAGAGCAACCCAAATGAAGCCAACCTTAGTCAAAATAGAGAGGATGAGAATAAACTTTGTCAGGCAACATTAAAATGCATGAAAGGGGAGAAAATTGCATTTAAAGATCCTGAGCATTTAGAACTTCAAATATGTATAATAATAATAGTAATACATATTTTATACACAAATGGGAAAGTAACTTTTAAGAATCGTAGAAATTGCTACATTCACATCATAGAGCCCTTAAAACGTCTGTTGTCTTCGCTATGTGGTCTCAAGTAAGAATTATCTTAATGTCATTTAATATTACACCTACTTGACAAATGTCTATCTAAAATAAACTGACTCTTTATTTCCCCAGCATGCTGTTTGCTAGAATTCAGAGCAGAGACATCCAATGGGTTTGCCCAGACTGACAAATTCAAAGAAAATTAGGATTGGTCCTAATTGTGCATTTGAGCTGCTGTAATAAAACATGTTTAATATGTAAAGCCTAGTTAAAGGTGGTGGATTTTTATGTAGATCTCTGGTCATGTAAAATGTAAAATCAAGCTATATCAGTGATAACTGTGGGTGAATAACTAAAAACGCATCTGAAACAGTAAAGCCTTCTTTTCCTTGCTTATGAAAGACAGCATTTTCACCTTCTGATACAAATGCTGTATTTTCTGTTTAGTCTTTATTTTATTATTTTTTTTGTTCTGGAGAGACTTTCTGAAGTTCTCTGTCTGATAGAAGAGACACATAATCACATCTCTGTTGGTTCATTGTTCCACCTCTACACCGAGTGTCAGAATTCATTAGAAGGCAGCACAGCTCAAAGCCAGTCTCTGTACTATGATCACATGAAAAAGCAAGAACACAGGGCCGATATTACACAGGGATTTATTCACAGAAGGTGAGAGGGGACCTGGTGGGTTCATGTGTGAAGTGTCTGTCCTGAATAGCGTCCCTGTCTCTGGGCTACATTGTGCCATTATAGTTGAGTTCATCATCCCTGAGGGTCACTGAGAAATACTCAACTCAGCCTGAGCTTTCCGTGTCCAAGGACAGACACCGGGTGCGTGAATCATTTCACCCTGACCATGTGACGCTGCATACCGAGATGTGTATTTGGAGCGAGAGCAGGAGGCTGTGAGGGGGCTGTTGCCTGGTGAGTTCATAAACAGAGTCGCCACAGCAGAACGTATTAGAGGGAGAAAAAAAGAAAACATCATTCAGAACTTTGCCTGATGCATTGTCTTGAAGGAGTACAAGGCTCCTCCTCTAGACTTTGTCTCAAAAGATGTTATGTCCTCGCTATGTGTGATTGACCCGGTCATTGCAGAAAAAGTAAAACGATCATGGATGTTTCACAGCCAAAGTATACCAAATCAACAGTATTGCCAGCTCTTTTCAGGGTAAATCCATGGTCAGAAAGTCCCTAGAAGTCACCAGATGATGTCAGAAACTAATTTGCATATCAAAACATCTTACATGTAGCAGGGAGATTTTCTAAAGACACTTTAGTATAGAATAGCATAAAGTATAACTTATATCTTAAAGAAAGAAGTTCTTAGTCATAGCACCACAAACTAACTATTTACAAATTGGAGTCAAACCAACTATTTACATATTTACAAAATACTACAATCTTCTACAAAGAATGCAGACAAAATGAAGCAGCTGTAGTGAGTGGTTGAGAAATAGACATGAAGGAAATGGTTACAGATAAAATAACTCACTTATTATACAGTATATAGTAAATATAGTATATATAGTAAATATCGGCAGAAAGTTTAAAACGAAGAAGAATTACACAGGTGGGACAAACGATGATCAGTGATTGGTCGTTGGGAACGCAGGCTCATACAAGGTGGTGAGGCGACTGACTCTGCTCTCTCAACTTGTATAATCAGCAGCTGGGATGTGAGCTGGCAGTCTCTAATGTCTGCTCAGAAAGTCTCGAGAATTGTCACTTTTTAAATAACAGAGTCGCTAAAGGGGTCTTAAAGGTTGCCACATCTAAGTCACTAAGCTGGCAGCACTGCTTGTTAAATGCATTGCTAGCATATTTTGATCTATAAAATTGGAGATAGTGCTTTATATTTCTGAATTGCTATGTGTAGCCATAAGCCAAAGATTACCATTGGATTTTCATGAATGACTGGCCGGTGGATCAGAAACTGGAGTTTCTAAAACAGGTTCCATGTTGCTGTTGTTGTTTCGGCTGCTCCCTTTGGGAGTCACCACAGTGGATTACCACAGTGGATCATTGGTCCACATGTTTTGATTTGGCACAGGTTTTATGCCAGATGCCCTAACTGACGCAAACTCCCATTTTATCTGGGTTTGGGACCGGCACTGAGAGTACATTCCCAGTGGCTGAGTTGGTTCCCTGCCCGGGAATCAAACCCGGGCCGTGGTGCATAGTGAGGGTGCAGGATCCTTAGCCTCTAGACCACCAGGGACCCCAAAAACATGTAGTTGAACAAAAAAGGACTAATATTCGGAATATCCCCTGCTTATAATATTCATAACTGTCGTTTATGTGTGTTGCAGATTGTGTATTTCACTGCCATGTTCCCCTACGTTGTCCTGGTCATTCTCTTGGTGAGAGGTGTGACCCTTCCTGGCGCCTACGATGGTATCATGTACTATCTCAAGCCTGACTGGTCAAAGATTAAAGAAGCACAGGTGAGCACTGAAGGAATGGGTCTATAAAAAATCTGCTTAGAAAGTCACTAATTTATCAAATCTAATCTATGCATTTTTTCAGTTTTTCTCAAATGTAGTCACTGCTAACCTGAAAAGATTTCTGAGAGGATTAAATGTTCATCTTCACTGCAAGAGCTATCCACTTAGATGCCCTGACAGAATTACTAATAGGATCTTTACTTATTTATAAATGTTCATAATCTTCACAGCTGTAGCTAGTCAGCTAGATAGCACGAGATAGCCTGACAGGATTACTAAGTGGATCGATAATTGTTTATAAATGGTCATAGTCCTCACTGCTAATGATAGTCATGTAGATAACATTAGCTAACCTGACACGATTACTGAGAGGATCTTTAAGTGTTTATAAATGTTCATGATCTTTATTGTACATAATCTATCTGTATAACACAAGCTAATCTGACAGGATTACTACTGATCATTATAAATGTTCATCATTTTCACTGCTAAAGCTAGCCAGCCAGATAACATGAGCTGACCTGACAGGATTACTAAGAGGATCTTTAAGTATGTTATAAATGGCTGCTATTGCTAGCCAGCTAACAGTTGACAGGATATTTCAGAAAACAATGAGTAATGGAAGTCTGCACCTACTCAGCAATGTTTGAAGGGAAATAGTGTTCATTTTTTTTGCCTTTAAATCAATTTCTAGGGTTACTCTGATTACCCTCAAACAATAATACTCCTTAAAATGAGCACTGCTTCCATATGAAGAGTGTGTTATTTGTAAAGCTATGAATGTTCCAAGACCTAAACTACGCCCCATTTAGCTTTCAGGCCTGTTGTGATTGGATTGATTTCAGTAAACTGAAATTTGGTAGGATTTTTACCATTGCTGTCATTAATTCTCATTACTTTTTCTCTTTCTCTCTCTCGTTCTGTCCATCATTCAGGTCTGGATTGATGCCGGCACTCAAGTGTTCTTTTCTTACGCCATCGGACTCGGAGCCCTGACTGCTCTTGGCAGTTATAACCGATTCAACAACAACTGCTACCGGTAAATTTCCTCTTTTATTAGGACACTGCATTGTTTTTTCTCTTTCTATTTTTGTTGGGTCTGTTGCTGCCCAGTCTCTAATTATTTACTGCATGACTTTCCATTATCAGAATTTGGGTTTTAACAAACTACAAGCTTTAACAAACTGAAGGACTGTCACGTAATGGTCATGAAGGTTAAAAAAAAAGACAACTTCGGAGAAGCTTAGTAAGTGTCAGGAGATCACTCGATCACTTATTGCATATTAAACTGTTGCCTAAATTACTTTTAAATGTCATCATTTTAAACCTTAAAAATAGTGTAGACTAATTAATTGTGTAATATGTTCTTTTATAATGCCCAAGAAACTACTAATAATGGCACATCTTGACCCCTGTGCTTTCATTATAAAAGTGACAAGATACATGTATTATGAGTAAAATTGGAAACACCACCTTGGCCTCTTGCCAAAATCATAATATTAGCCAACTTAGCCAACCAGCTAGTTAATTGCTAGTTAAAGTCACAGGTAAACACAAGTGAGATTTCAGTATCTGGGTCTCAGATAACATTGTCAATTTCTCAACAATTTATACATGCCATTACAGCCAGTTTTTTTAAAGACTAGCATTAGGTAAATTAGCTATCTTACACATTAATTGCTAACAAACTAGCTCACATTTATCACATGTAGATATGATTAAGTCTGGATTTATATTTTCATTGATTTATTTAAAAGTAGCCAAAAAAAATACTATAATAACCAAAAATTTTTCAGTATGTCATTTGCAAAGTCAGCTAGCTAGCCTCGCATACAGATTACATGGCTAACCTTTCAGATACAATGTTATCCTGTGGTAATTTGTATATTAGACAGGATTGAATCAACTTATTTATGAAATCGCAAATAATCAGAGACATCCATCCAAATAATTAAAAATCACATTTTTGAGTTCAGAAGAATTTTAACGTGCTGTCTTTCCCAGACAGTGACTGACTTTTGTTTGTCCCGCCGTCCTCAGGGATACGTTCGTGTTGGCACTGATAAACAGCGGCACCAGTTTCTTCGCTGGCTTTGTGGTTTTCTCCATTCTGGGCTTCATGGCTGCTGAGCAGGGTGTGGACATCTCAAAAGTGGCAGAGTCAGGTAAGACTCCAGCAACTGTTAGTGTTTTCAACGCATGCTTTTTAAGTGTGTATAGGCTTTACTCTGGAGTTTCAGGCTGCCCTGTACAGTTTAATCCTGATCTGAATTAAGAATTAACTGTTTAGAAGAATTTACTGGAATTGAGAACTGTTCGTGTATTGTATCAGGGAAAAGTTTATGGTAGTGTCCCTTCTGATACATATGTGTAAAATTGTTAACTCATTTAGCTGAAGGAAAATCTGAGGCTGTGACTATTTGCACTGTGTTACCTATAAAAGTTATTTTCACTCTTCAGAAGGATAAAGTCAACCCTCTTGGACATAGAAATATTTGTGTAATGATTTATAAGGCCTGAGATTGATATTGTTACTCTTCGTGACACATTTACAGTTAAATATGTGATTATTCTTTAATTATATTGAGAAAGTTTATTGTATTTGTGTGTAATGTGTTAAATTGTAAATGACTGACAGAATTATTGTACTGAGTGAGATCTGTGTACGTGTGTGTGTCTGAGTCTGTGCCTAGGTGTGTTAATAAGTGAATGGGGATGAATCTGACTGAAAGTTGTTTTAACCTGTTTGAAAATGGAATATATTGCAAATCCAAAATATAAGTGAAATAATTGACCATTTTGGGGAAGATTTCACTTTTTAATATGTCAGTGGTGCGTGATATGGAATTTTGTCATTTTGTTTTTTGAATGTATTGTGTGTGTTTGTGTCTGAAAGTGACATTAGAAGTTTTCTGTGTGAATATATGAGAGAATCTAAATGTGTAAGGTGAATATGAAATTGTGTGTGTGTGTGTGTGTGTGTGTGTGTGTGTGTGTGTGTGTGTGTGTGTGTGTGTGTGTGTGTTGTCTCATATGCGTAAGTGGAACTTTATGTTTGTCTTTAAACAGTCAGATCAGAGTATTTAGGAAGTCCTGCACTCTGCACACATCCTAAACTGCATCCTGATTATAACCAGGAGTGTGTATTCGTCATCCATTTTAGGTGCCAGTATTCAGATACTCGTATGTATGACCTTTATCCACATAACATCAGCAAGAAAATAAAAATAGAAAAGCCACGTCTGGCAATGTTTGAATGCAGAGAACAGCACTGTCATGGTGTGCAAGTTAGCGTGCATCTGGACTGAAAAAATGTCTCGTGGGTAGGAGAGGACAATCAGACCCAAAACTCGTGGTACAAAAGAGCAATAACATCCTGTACACTATTAAATGTATATAACTCCATTAAATGTCGTAAACTACAATGGACACAAATCAGGTTTGCAGATTAAGCCCATTTTACACCAGAAGTGATTTTTTTTCTTCTCTTATTAACATATTTATAGCTGCTATAATGTAAGTGCTAATAGGAACTAACTTTTGCGAACTGATAAAAAAGTATGATGTCTTTCTTTAGTTAATAAAATTTTGGAATTGCTGCAGTATATGAGAGGAACGAAACACTTTGGGATGTGCCGTTTTTGGAAAATAATCAGCTTTGAGGTAGCAGTGCATCACACCACCATGTCACTGATTATTTTCCTACAACAGCTCACCCCCTTGTGTTCCTTACTTAAACTAATTACAAAATGTAGGCTTTGGTGGAAGTGATCTTAAAATGTTCACTTACAATAGTATAGTATAGTCTAGACATATAAAACCCTGCAATACATCCTATCATATATAATCATCATCATACATCATTTAGCAGGCTGTGTGCATGCTTAGGCATATTTACATTTTAGATGAAAAAATAAAATACACATATGACCCTCCATTTGTGAGGAGACTGTGTGAGGAGATAAACTCTGTTGGTTATGAACAAAAATACTGACATACAGTATAGCAATAGCAATAACAATTTGCCAAGTATTGCAATTGTCTTGCGTACCTCACCTTGTTACACTTTATTATTTCAGATTTTGTACTACATGAGTTTAATTTGTTTTAGGTCCTGTTTCATCATGACAACACTATATGATTAATCTATGAACTGATAGGAATTCACACCCCATGAAACTTTAAGTGATAACAAGTTCCAAAGCCTCCGTCTCGTCATTCATCAGAACAGACTAGACTAGCATTATAACATGTGGGAAAAGTAAAACCAGATGTTCACCCCGAGTCCACGCTGGCACAGGATGGCACACGTGGTAACCTTTAAGCCCTACAGTGGATAAGAAGCTTTAGCTGAAGAGACCGAATCATACAGAGTTTTAGTGAGAAAGACACTGATGCATTCATCTACATAGAAATAAGTCTTATCTGGCTCTTGATCACCAGTCTAGCAATGTTTTGCTAATCAAATCAGATGTGGCCTGAGCTGATTTTAATTGGCCATTCAAATTGACTTGAACCAAGAACATTAGAAAACATCGTCTATTATCAATATATAATATTTTGCAAAAGATCCAGATCTTTTATCATACACATTCTGGGAAAAAAGATACAGTATGTGCAAAGTCAGAGAGCGCCATTTGTTTTCAATTAAATGGCTTTTCAGTACTTACTGTTGATTATTTGATGGCAAAAGATTATGATGGGAAACTGTACAGTACATTAATTCCATTTTCAGTTAAACAGGTCAATATTAAAGTTCAGTATTACAAATAAA